TGTGATCAGCTCTATCCAGTTTTTCCTAAATTACTCAGTGACCTATGGCCTAAATGAAAGCAATAGCTGAGGCAATAGCTGAGGAAGAGGAGGGAGAGGAAGTGAAGACTTGTTTTCTTCTTTAAACTTTCTTGGTTTTTTTGGGGGGGGTTTGTGTGTGTGTGTGTGTGTGTGTGTGTGTGTGTGTGTGTGTGTGTGTGTGTGTGTTTAGCCCTGGCTGTCCTGAAACTAGCTCTGTAGACTAGGCTAGCCTTGAACTCATAGAGATCTGCCTGCCTCTGCCTCCCAAGTGCTGGGATTAAAGGCATGAGCCACCACCACCTGGCCCTTTTTTGGTTTGTATTTGTTTGTTTGTTTTTTAAGCAGGTTCTCACTAGGTACCCCTGGCTGGCCTGGGACTCACTATGTAGACTAGCTTCTAACTCAGAGAGATCTCCTTCTGAGTACTGGAATTAAAGGTGGGCACCAACATGATTTTGATCAGCCTTTATTCCATTCTGTGCTTCAGGAAGCCATCACAGTTTCCATAGCTATCAAAGGAGACTGACAGTATTGTTTAACTGAAATCTTTAGAAGAAGGTATTTAAATACTGCAAGGATACAAGTTGCTCTGTTTTGGTGCATGATTATCACCCTAGGGACTCCTTGAATGCTGCTCTCCTGTTTTAGCACTCCTGTTCCTTGGTTTACTCCCCCATTTTGGTAGCATGTACATGCTGTCGTTGCTGAACTTTCCAGGGCTCTTGCGGTGTGGCTTCTAGCTTTTCCGCCGCTGGCTTGCCTGTCAGCTGTCTAGTCCTAATCGAAGTCTTCTCCCCTTTGTTTGTAGGGGTGCAGTTGAGGTGGTGATTGAGACAGGCTCTGGTGAAGCCCAGGCTGGCCTCAGGTTTGCTAAGTAGCAGAAACTTGCCTCGAACTCCTGAAGCTCCTGGACAACACCTCCTTAGTGCTGGGATTACAAGGGTGAACCACTGTTCAGTGGCATATTTGCCTCATTGTTAGTCTTCACCACTGTCCATTCCCAGAACTCTTTCATGACCCCAAACTGAAAACTCACAGTCAACTCACACCTTGCCGTCCCTTTCTTCGGCTCCTGGCAGCCACCATCTGACTCCTCTGGCCAGTGGTCTGACTTCTCGGCATTTCATGAACAGAATCACAATAGTTGGCCTTCTGTATTGGACTTAACTTACTTCACTTAGCTCAGTGTCTCTAAGTTCAATGCCTGTTTTAGAATGAAAATGGAAGGAATGAGTGGATAAGTAGAGAATGGGATTTAATTGACCTCTGACCTTGGTCTCTCTGGCTGTTTCAGCTCAGAAGTCAATGGCCTTTCCCTGCTGGCCCAAAGCATCCTTTAGCAAAATAGCTTAATATGCTAGCTTTGTTGTCAGAATCTTGAAAAATGGTTTGAAGCTAGCTAGGTCTGGTGGCTCGCACCTGATTGAAATACTCAGGAGGCTGAGGCAGAAGGATTATGAGTTTGAAGCCAGCCTGGGCTACACAGTGAGACTGTCTCAAAAGCAAAGTGAATGGAAGAAAGGGAAGGAGGGAGGGAGAGACGGATGGGTGGGCACTGGGCATGGTACTCAGTTTGTAGAGTACCTAGCATACAGGAAGCCCTGGTTTGTGCCATTAAATTATGTGTGGTGGTGCATGCCTGTAATTCTAGCCCTCCAGAGGTGGAGGCAGGAATATCACAAGTTCGTTATTCTCCACCCCTACTCAGCAAGTTTGAGGTTAGCTTGAGATACATGAGATCTGTCTCAAAAAGAAATATAGAAGAAATATACAGTCACCCTAGACTAGTCTTGTTGGACAAAAAGACTTGAAGTGTAGAGGTGACTCCTGTTTGCCTCTACAGAGCAGCTGGTGGCAGGAACTCAGACAGTGCCCTCCAGGGCTTCTGGCTCCCGGAGACTGGGGGAGGAAACCAAGATCCTTGCCTGCCTCAGGGTGTTTCTTGGGCATGAAGCTTCCATTCTTTCTCCACAGATTTCTGCATGAACCCCCAGACAGTGCTGCTCCTGAGGGTCATTGCTGCCTTCTGCTTCCTGGGCATCCTGTGTAGTCTCTCTGCATTCCTTTTGGATGTCTTTGGGCCCAAGCACCCAGCTCTGAAGATTACCCGTCGCTATGCCTTCGCTCACATCCTCACTGGTAAGGCCAGGGTCTACTCATGTAGGAGGGGACTGCCCTGAGGCATATTGGTACCTGGGCTTGTTTCTCTGTGGAGAGCTGTGTGATATGCTCTAGCCTTTCAGGGGTGCATTAGGGTTGGCTTCTGCCATTTGTGAGTAATTTGCCTAGGATTAGAGGGAATGTTAGAATTCCACAGGAATCTCACGGCTCTCCAAACATGACAGTTACATCATAGAACCCCAGGCCTGGTGTTAGCATGGAGGAGTCGGGCTGTCTTACCTGGACTGGGGTGTGTGGCCAGTTTCCCCCCCTGAGTACCTCCCAGCCAGGTCCGCTTCTCTGCTTGGATCCAGCCACTTCCCTCACCAGGCCTGGGCTGCTGTCAGTTCGGCTTTCAATAGTGATTGACTTCAGTTCCAGCTCAGTCTCTAAAACTTCATGATTTGGTTTTGTTTTGTTTTTGTTTTTCCCAGAGACAGTGTAGCCCTGGCTGTCCTGGAACTCACTCTGTAGCCCAGGCTGGCCTCAAATTCACAGAGATCCTCCTGCCTCTGCCTCCTGAGTGCTGGGATTAAAGGCGTGTGCCACCACTGCCTAACTTTAAAACTTCATGATCTTATATGTTTCTTCTCAGTACACAGAAGCATCCAGGGGCCTTATTATCTAATTGTAAATTCCTTCTTTCTTTTCTTTTTCCCCTTTTTTGGAGGGGCATGGGGTGGTACTGGGCATTGAATCCAGGGCCTAGTGCATGTTAGGCAAGCTCCTTACCATTGAACAATAATTCTTAAGATAGACCCTGTCTAGTCAGGATGGGTCAGATAACTGTCCTCGGCCCTAAGCCAAGAATCTTATAGCCAAGAAAGTTCTTGGCCCTGGGCCAGGCAAGTCCTCCGAGAACTGGGTGAGAGGCTGTGATTGATTCCTTAAACGTCCTGACTGTTGATCCCCCTTGTGTGCTGTCCCTGTCTCCCAGTCCTACAGTGTGCTACCGTCATTGGCTTTTCCTACTGGGCTTCTGAGCTCATCCTGGCCCAGCAGCAACAGCATAAGAAGTACCATGGCTCCCAAGTCTATGTCACCTTTGCTGTTAGCTTCTACCTGGTGGCAGGAGCTGGCGGAGCCTCAATCCTGGCTACTGCGGCCAACCTCCTGCGCCACTATCCAACGGAGGAAGAAGAACAAGCGCTGGAGCTCCTATCCGAGATGGAAGAGAATGACCCCTACCCAGCAGAGTATGAAGTCATCAACCAGTTCCAGCCACCCCCTGCCTACACACCCTAATGCCAGCCAGGGCTCTCTTCCTCAGCAGCCCTTCCCCCAGTGCCACAGCTCCTCTTACACCCAGAAGAGCCACTTCCCCCACAGGTCTCACCGGTAGGACCCTGACCATCTTCACCAAACCTTCCCCAGGTGACACTCTGCCTTTAGGGTTGTCCATTTGTCCCTGCTCCGCAGAGCTGGGATGATTTTATATAATGCACTCTTTCCCCTCCCAGAACCCTCTGCTCCTTTCCTGTTCACTAGCTCCTTCCAACCAGGGATGGTCAGATAAGTTTCCTCCCTCCGTGGGCCATGTCTTTGGGACTGGAACTTTCCTGGGTTGCTGCTGTAGTGGACAGTCCCTGAGAGAGGTGCCAGCAGGGCACAGAGGGAAGGGGCTGTGCCATGCAGGTTCACTCTGCCAGGCCCAGCATTTGTGCCACATCTGTATCTGGGCTGACTCCCTCATTCCTTCTAGAGTGCCCTAGGCCCAGCCATCCACTTTGTGGATTCTCTGCACTTTAGTCTCTGGGCCACTCCCCATGTGTGTTCTGGTTTTCTGGAGAGAAGGAATTGCTGTTGGGGAGCAGAACAGCTGCTCTCCTGCCCTGCCCTGGCTTCCTGTGGTTGGAGCCAGGCAGGGAAGCAGAACCAGGCAAGACACTGATCCTACGGAGGACCCCAGTGAAGGGAACTGAGTGCCCCAGCCCCTTCGCCTTTTAATGTGAGTGGTTTAAAATGGGAAACAGAACCAAACCAAGCATTAGCAGCCGTGTTCTCTTTCTAACACAGGGACATGGCTGTTGTTGTTCAGAAACGGAGCCTATACCTTAGACTCTGCAATATTTTGGACCATAGCTCCCTCTAAGCCTATAGTCACTTCTCCCAGTCTCTCTAACAGAATGCAGGCTTTCTGTCCTGACTCCTTCTTACAGGCAGCTGTGGCTCCCTGGGGCCTTTCTGTGGAACTAGGGCCACATGGCCCCTGCGGGGCTGAGAACTATGGCCTGGCTGGCTGGCCAGCGTGGTGCTCCTCAGAACTGTGGCACTGAGATGTAACCTGGCCTCAGTTCAGGCACAGGGGCCGAGCAGGGCAGGACCCTCCACTTTCCACAATAGTACTCCACCCAGAGGCCCATCAGGTTGGTGTCAGGACCCTGTCAGATGTGCAGGCCTGGCTGTAGCCTTCAGAGTCCGTGTGTCCCCTAGCCTGTGACTTGGGGCTACAGCTTGCTGCATGCCCCTCTTCCCTCTGGAATGTATGCTGGTCTTGCAGTGTGCTACTGGGCTGTTACTCTAGCTATTCTGTTTGCCTTGGGTCCAGTTTTATTGTTTGTTTGTTTATTTTGTTGTTTTGCGTGGAGACCTGGGGCATAAGGCAGGTGGGACTTGAGAGGCCTGCAGCTTGGATGCAGATAGGCAAGCTCTTCTTGTTCATTTATGAGCTTCTTTGGAGTGAGAGTCTAGTGCTAGCTGAAAGGGAGATGAATTCCAATCTCCCCTCACCCTTAAGACAACAGACATTTTGAGCAAGAATGGAGACTCAATACAGTCACTGAAGTGTGACTACAAGACTGTCACCTCCTCATTCTTTGGCCAGAAAGAGTGGGGCATATGTGGACAAATGCCCATGCAGATGAAGACCAAGTGTGCCCATAAGAAAGCATCTGCTTGGAGCTCCCTGCTGTGATGCCAAAGTGTGCCCCAGTATGACTCTCCCATTCTTCCAGACCCTTCTCTGAAGCAAGAAAAGCTGCCAGGGGATACCTGAGCACAAAATCAAGGAGCTAAATTAAGACTACCTTTCTGTGAAGTCCTGAGCTCATCATTGGCAGGTTTCTGAAGTATGTGGCCAGCTCTCTAACATGACATCTGAGGGAGCAGGCCAGAAGACCAGGCACCAAACATGCATGCCAAAGTGAATGAGGACTTGACCCTGTGGACTGTTCCTTGTGGTTTGGAACCCACTTTTACTAGCTTCCTGGTCCTCTGGCCTTTCTTTCACTTTTCCCTGCCATTCTGATACTGATAGTTTGTCATATAAATTCCTCTGGTTGTGTTTTTCTTTTCTAGGAAAAAAATTAAAAGGCAAAACAAAAACCAGAAACTACAAATGAGAACACAAATGCCAGTGGCTGCCTCTCATTTTTGTCATAATTTTCCAGCTGTTCTCTTCCTCCTTCAGTGATGGAGCTTGTAATGGAACAAAGTCAGGAGGAACTTGGCATGCGCCTAAATCACACATGACATTTTGATCCTTGGGAGCCTCCCACTCCTGACGTCTTTCACAGAGGAAGTTCCCAAAGCTCACAGCTAGAAACAGTAGGTGCCTCTGCCCAAGATACCAACTACAGACCTTGAGCTGCCCCTCTCTGCATGTCCTGATTAGCTGCAGAAGAGCTGTTTTCAGATCTCTAGTGGTACTTCCTGGGAAAAGCCTGAGAATGCAAATGGTTCTGGGAGCAAGGTTTGCAGAGTTGTTTTTCCAGGCAGTTGATGGGTGGAACCTTGATGGCTGCCCACACTCTTAGTTCATTCACTCTCAACCCAGCTTGGGGCCCCAAGTATATACTTGGTGAAAACATTTAGAGCTCTCTTTGGGAAGTAGTCCATTCCTAGCAGGATGCATGTCTTTCCTAGAAACTGATAATCTTCTCATTTCGTGTCCATTAGACATTTCTGTGAAGGGTCCATTGGATTATGCACAAAACACTGAACCCCATGAAAGAAATAGGATGTCTGACAGGACCTTGTCTCCCAGGATTGTATTTCTTTAGCTCAGGAGACAGATTCCCCCACAGGGAAACAGTGAAGTAAGTAGTCTCCTGGACACCTTGGGAAACTCCTATGCTTGAGATGGGAGGCTGGTTCTAACCAGAATAATTATCAACAGCTTTCTGGATGGAACAAATAGAGCTGGTTGATGTGGGAGAGCATTTGGGGAAGGGGTCACTTCCTCTGAGGGAATGGCATGGTGGCCAGGATATGGTGCAAAGTGAGATGGTGAAGGCCCACCTGACGTTCCTCAGAGCAGTAGGAAGCCACAGGAGGGTCTGAAAGCAAAGGGGATCCAGTTTTATGGACTGCTGGTAGTGTGGAGGGCTGTGATGTCCCATAAAGCACCAGAGAGTGTGGGAATTGGGGGACAGGTAGACACTGTGTGGAGGACCCTCAGGCCTGGCAGAAGCGGGAGAGAGCCCAGGAACTCCAACTCTGTCACAATGCACTAGGAGATGGGATCAGGCTTGTAGCTCAAGAGGGCTTCAGAAGAGAGGCTGTGTTGTGTGAAGGACAGCAAGGAGAGGGAGGCCTTGGGGAACAGAGTGGCTGTTGTACCTGAAGGAGGGCAGTCCTTTCCAGATAACCTCAGAATCCTCAGCTGGTTTCTCACTCAGAGGTGCCAGTGCCCTGGGCCATGACAGTATGGAATACGTTTCTGTGGGGAGACAGAAAGGAACTAATAAACTTTATAGCCTTTGTTTTCAAACAGTCTGCAGTCTTCCTGTACCTTTCTGTGGGAGTGCCACTGGGATGGGGGCCAGGCAGAAAAGATGACTCCTGAAGTTAGGCAGGAACTCTTTTTTTTTTTAATTATTTATTTTTATTTTATGTGCATTGGTGGATGTTTTGGCGGCATGTATATCTGTGTGAAAGTGTCAGACCCTCTGGAACTGGAATCAAAGACACTAGTCAACTGCCATGTGGGTCCTGGGAATTGAACCTGGCTCCTCCAGGAAGAACAGCCAATGCTCCTAACCACTGAGCCATCTCTCTAGCCCTGAGGCATGAACTCTTAGGGACAGTGGTTTGACAATTAAGATGCCACTTCCTCACCTATGAGCTGTGGGGAAAATGCTTGACTTAAGTGCTAGAGGAGAGGGCTCTTTCCTCAGGAGAGATTCATCGTGGACTGGTCTGTCCATTCTGCCAAGGAGGAAACCCCAGGTCTGGTGAGGGGTCTTTTCCAAAGATGTTGAAGGGAAGGTAGAGGCCTCCTCTGCCAATCATGTGTCTGAGGAGTTAGAGAACAAAAGAACTTTGAAAGAGGCAGTTTCCAATCCACTTTTTACATAGGTCTTTCAGAGTTCAGGGCCTGTTTGAACCACCTTGTCCTGACTGTTCTAGAAGATGGCAACTGGTCCCCTAAGAGAGCACTTTGTGGTGAGACGGGCCATGTACCCCATATGTTTGCCTGTTCTACCACTTTCTTGGAGATGGCATCTCTAACTTGACTACTTGTGTTGGGTTTTTCTTTTGGAAAATCCTCAGGGTGGTGGGTGGCTTTTGTGTGAATAATGAGGATGCCCCCTATTCTTCCTACAGTCTATCAAGAGAGCAAAGAAAATTTGTATGTGTATACATATATATTTCTGTTTTGTTGATAGGTCCAAGTTGTGAATTCATTAGACCAAAAGGGCAGACTTTGTGTGTGTGTGTGTGTTTGTGTGTTTTGAGACAGGGTTTCTCTGTGTAGCCCTGGCTGTTCTAGAATTAGCTCTGTAGACCAGCTGGCCCAAAACTCAGTGATCTGCTTGCCTCTAGCTCCTGAGTGCTGAGATTAAAGGCATGCCCCCCAGCTTTTTTGAGGGGAGGTGTCATACATTTTGTTGTTTAGTTTGTTGTTATTTTCTAGAGCATTTCATGTAGCCCAGGCAGGCTATGTAGAAGAGATGACCTTAAACTCCTGATCATCCTGCTTCCGCTTCTGAGTGTTGGGATTATAGGCTGAACACTTACTTGGTTTTATGTGGTACTGAGGTCAGATCCAGGACTTTGTGCATACTGGGCAAGCATTCTACCAATAAAGCTATGTTCTCAACATTGATTGATTGGTTGATTGATTGTAGACAGGCTCTTACTATTAAACTCTGGCTGGAACTCAATATCTAGACCAGACTGACTTCAAATTCACTAAGATCCACCCACTTGTACCTTCCCAGTGCTGGGGGGTTGTGCCACCATGCTTGGCTCTTTTATTTCTTGTTAACATTAATTAGGCAAATACCTGTTTTGTGGAGGATACAAAGATACTAACCCCCAAACAGGACATAGTTGGTAGAGAGCTTGTCTTTGCATGGACAAAGCCCTGGGTTTGATCCCAAGTACCACAAGTTATTAACCCACACAGTCTTGTCCCAAAGGCTTTCTAGACCAGCTGCCAGGAAAGAGAAAACCTGGAGATCAAAACCTGACAGTCAAGAAAAGCTCTACCCAGTGTAGTGACTCAGCCCTGTGACCCCAGCACTTAGAAAGGAGCCTGAGGCACAAGAATTGCCACAAGTTTGAGAGCAGCCTGGGCTACGTGGGGATTTCCAATCCAACCTAGGTTGTAGGGTGAAGCTATCTCAAAAGATGAAAGATAAGTGAAAAAGGAAGGCTTCCTGAGGAAGGGACTTCAGGTTTTGAAACGTGATTAAGCTTGATGAGAGACATCTATTGTCGGATGGCAAGTGTGAGCTGGAAAGGTGTGCTGAAAACTGAGTGCTGGTCCTCTGAAAGAACAGGTGCTGTTAACACGGAGCTATCCCTCTAGTTCTCTTACTCTTTTTCTATTTAAGAGAGAAGGTGATTAGAGATAGTCACTGTTCCTTATATCCTACCTACAATGCACTTTAAAATGTATTTATGTGTGTGTCTTTGTGCAAATATATGCCATGTGAGTGCGACTGCCCTTAGAGGCCAGAATTCAGAGCCCCTGGAGCTGGAATTACAGGAGGTTGTGAGTGACCTGATACGGGTGCTGAGAACTGAACCTGGGTCCTCTGCAAGAACATCAAGTGCTCTTAACCTCTGAGGCATCTCTGTTGCCCTCAACGATGTACTTTAACTTACATAGTCTCATTTGAGCCTGACAACCCCAAAACACAGGGCTGTATCATTAGCTGTATTTCGGGCCTTAATTACAGTGCTTTAGAGGAGGGATGTAAAATAAAAAATGGAAGATCCACCACAGAATGACTGTCCTCTCACCATGCAAACAGTAAACCCAGATTGACACTGCTATGCCTGGCAAGCTCCTTCCATGTGCCCCTCTGCTCTTGCTAGCTGGCCTAGATCTCTGTCAGTCAGTTAGTTAGGTCATAATCTAATTGCAGCTGTTGTTCCTGATGTGATTTGGTTGCTGGAGCAAATTTGTGCATCCCCTGATCAGTGTGTAGTTAGTGATCTGATGATTGTCTTTGCCCTCAACAACTTTCAGTTAAGACCATCTATAGCTGGAGTTTTCCTATGTCCACCCAGCTCCTGCAGCCACTCAGACCCAAGTAAACACACAGAGGCTTATATTACTTATAAACTGTATGGCCGTGGCAAGCTTCTTGCTATCTAGTTCTTACATCTTAAATTAACCCATTTCTATTAATCTATAAGTTGCCATGTGGCTTGTGGCTTACCGGTACTTTCACATCTTGCTTCCTCTGTGTCTGGCTGGCGACTCCTGACTCAGCCTTCCTCTTCCCAGAATTCTCCTCTCTCTTTGTCCCGCCTATACTTCCTGCCTGGCTACAGGCCAATCAGCACTTTACTTATTAACCAATCAGAGCAACACATTCACAGCATACAGAGCGATATCCACAGCACTTCCCCTGTTCTTTTTTTTTCAAAAAGGAAGGTGTTTTTGTTGTTGTTGTTGTTGTTTTCGAGACAGGGTTTCTCTGTGTAGCTTTGTGCCTTTCCTGGATCTCGCACTGTAGACCAGGCTGGCCTCGAACTCACAAAGATCCACCTGCCTCTGCCTCCCAAGTGCTGGAATTAAAGGCATGCATCACCACTGCCCGGCTTTCAAAAAGGAAGGTTTTAACTTTAACATAGTAAAATTACAATGTAACAAAACAATTATCAAGCAAGAATTACAGTTACAATATCTAGTCTATTTATAATATCTAGTCTATTTGTAGACTTCTTTAATTTGGCAAAATTAAAGAAGATATCCTATCTATCCTATATTTGTGAGTCTAAGGTTTCATATCTAACTTATCTTTTATTATAACTAAGGAAATTATAACTATCTAGTCTTCAACTACATCAAAGACCTCAGAAGGATATAATATTACCTGAGAAATGGGAGAAGGATGCAAGCAACTTTCAGGAGTCTTGGAAGAGTAGACAGAGACAGCTGGCAGCCTGGACAGTCACCTAATGTTCCTTTGTAAAGTTGGGGCATCTGTCTTCAGCCCACAGACCTAGAGTCTCTCAGTCATTTCTCTCTGTGTCCTGTAGAATATCTGGCAGTTTCCTTTGCAAAGCAGGAACCTGAAGGACCATTTTGCCAAGCAAAGTTCAGTGGTCACCATCCTATGGGTCCTGCATGTCCAGCCGATCAAGCAGTCCAGGCAAGAACAGTTTCTTGCCCAAATGGCTATTTTTGCCAAGAAGATAAACTCTATATAGAGTGTCTTCAATGCCCATCCTCCTCTCTGAAATAAATCGGTGCTGCCAGGAGCAGACACGTCTCACTGTCTAGAAAGTCTAAATTTTTAAAACATTTTAAATGTTATATTCTGTAGGTCTTTGAAGTGTTTGAAGATTACCTATCTATCTGAAATATATCTACGTATACCTGGAAAACTAAACTAACATGACTATAAGTTTGATTATCATAGGTGATTAACCAATCAGAGCAACACATTCACAGCATACAGAGCGATATCCACAGCAACCATCAAGAACTGTTTGCTCCTTGCAACTGGTAGGACCAGAAAGGCTCATTCTCACACATAGGACTCCATCAACCCCTGTACCTGTTGCTGTTCTTATTCTCTGTGCCACACTGGTCTAGGACACTGGTAACAGATTGATTGGAATTAACAACTATTCTAGCTACCTTGATAAGAAACGTATGCTGAAAGGGGAAATTCCTTGAGAAGCACAAGACTTCTAGAGTCCTAATGGTCTAGGGTAGTGGATCTCAACCTTACTAATGCTGCGACCCTTTAATATAGTTCTTTATGTTATGGTGACTCCCCAACCATAGTTATTTTCATTGCTACTTTGTAACTGTGATTTTGCTAATATTATGAACCATAATGTAAATATATTTTCTGATGGTCTTAGGCTACCCTAGTGAAAAAGTTGTTGGACCCCAAAGTGGTTGCAACCCACAGATTTGAGAACCAGTGGTCTAGGGTGTAGTGAGCAATCCTTCTTTTAACATTTTTAATTATGTGTGTATGTGTGTGTATGCGTGTGTGCCATGGCACGTGTGGTTGGAAGATAACTTTTAGGAATCAATTTTCTCCTTCCTCCCTGTAGTTCCTGGGCATTGAACTCATGTCATCAGGCTTGGTAGGAGGCATTCTTACCCACCAAACCACCTTTTTTGTTTTTCATGACAGGGTTTTTCTGTGTAGCCCTAGCAGTCTTGGAACTTGATTTGTAAACCAGGTTGGCTTCCAACTTAGGTAGATCCACCTGCCTCTGCCTTATGAGTGCTGGGACTAAAGTTGTACACCACCACACCCAGCCCCACCAAGTCATCTGAGCTATCCCTTTCAATGTAAAAGACAGGTTACTGTGCCCCTACCCCCACCATTAAGAAAGAGGTACAAAGCCAGGCAGTGGTGGTGCACGCCTTTAATCCCAGCACTCAGGAGGCAGAGCTAGGTAGATCTCTGTGAGTTTGAGGCCAGCCTGGTCTACAAAGTGAGTTCTAGGACATCCAGGACTGTTCCACAGAGAAACCCTGTCTTGAAAAACAAAACAAAACAAAACAAAACTACACAGTGTGTAGTCAGACTTTTTTTGCCTGGCCAGCCAGCTCCCAAATAACCACACGGAGGCTTCTTATTAATTAGGAAAGCTTGGTCTTAGCTTAGACTTGTTCCTTACCAGCTCTTATAACTTAAATTAACTCATATCTTTTAACCTATGTTCTTTTATGTGGCTCAGTTACCTTTACTCTGTACTGCCCATGCTGCTTCCTCTCCATCTGGCTGGCAACTCTCCGCCCTTCTCACCATCCTCTCTGCTCCCCAAATCCTGCCTAGCTACTGGCCGTTTAGCTTTTTATTAAACCAATCCAAGTGGCAAATCTTCACAGTGTACAAAAAGATTATTCCATAACAGTGCCTAGTGACTTTGGATTTGGAGGCAGCACACAACTCATTGGATTCTTCTCTGATCCATTTTCTGAATACTCCAAGTTGTCAGTTTTGAGTGGGTCCCTGAACAGAAGGCAGCATTCTCATAAGTTCTGCCTGCCCAGAGGGCCGCTTGGTCCACTACTATTTTATGTGTATAGGTGGTTTGCCTGAATGTATGCACGTGTACCATATGCATGCCTGCTCCCCAAGAAAGCCAGAGGAATGTGTCAGATCCCCTGGAACAGGAGTGACAGTTGTGAGCTACCATGTGGGTGCTGGGAACCAAGCCTAGAAGAGCAACCAGTGCTTCATCCACTGAGCTCCTCTCCAGCCCCTCAGTTTTAATTTTTTGTTTAAATTTGTGTGTCTGTATGAGAATATGCCATATGTGTGCGAGTACCACAGAAGCCATAAGATGGCATCAGATCTCCTGGAGCTGGAGTTACAAGTCCTTGTAGCCACCCAGTATGGTGAGAACTGAACTCTGGAAGAAAGCAGCAAGCACTCTTAACTGCTCAGCTATCTTTCTGGCTTCCTCAATTTTTAGTTCTAAAACTACTGGGATAAAGTATCAAGTATCAGTGAAGCCCTTGGTGCTAGAATAAAATTATTTGGAAATTTTAAAGAACTTGTTTTCCATCTTAAAAGATTTTTTAATTTTAAAGAACCTTGTTTCGGGCATGTGGTCTTGATGGCTGTAATCTTGAATAGTGGAAAACATTTTAAGTGTTTAGCTGCTAAGATTATCCTCTTCTATGGAAGATGCATGTTCTGGAGGTAAATACACTCAGCACTTGCTAGTTGCAGTTGCAGTATTCTCTTGATCTCTTACTCCTCGTAAGACCCCAATATTCCTGGAAAAATATCAAAGCCAATTATGTAGGAGGTTTTTCAGAAGAGAAGACAACTTTGTCTTTCCAGAGGACAATTCCTCTCCACTTTGCTTTATGAGGCAGATAGCAACCCCAAGCCATAGATAGGTTGGGGCTTTTGCAGACCTCAATGGTTCCTGTCAATCAACAAAAGCAGGACAGCAGCAAAGTCCAACCTTCTCATTGCTCAGGAGGCCACTACTATTTTCTATTACAAATTTCTCCTTAATTTGCTCTCAAGAAGAAATAAACACAATACCAATTTCTAAACTAACTTCAGCCCAGATAGAGCAGAAGAGGCCTAGCTTTCAGTCCCCAGAAAACATCTTTCTCCCCCAACCTTTGGAGAAAAATTTATTTTGGTACAAATATCTTAATACAGCACTGGTGAGGGTATAAGTAAAATCCTAAATCCGGTGTAAGGAACAGTTTCTTGTTTACAGGCAGGGAGAAGCTGCTGCGCCCTGATGGCAGCAGACTACTGGAGGGCTGCTCAGTCCATCTCCTAGCCAATCTGAGTAAACTTTGCTCCTTGTCTGTTAAATTCTTTGCTTCTAGGCTGTGCTCCCCAACAGCTTTGCTTTGTGTCTTTTGCAACAAGGTCTCACACCACAGCCCAGGATGGCCTAGGATTGGAAGCAGTCCTTCTGAGTGCTGGGATTGGTTACTGGCAGGAGCTATTACACCAGACTTCTCTGCCATTTTAAAACTTGTTCTGTGAGGAAAAGCAGGAGTTGGCATTACAGGAACATGCCCACCTACAGACAGAACGGCAAGTGTCACAGTATAAATATGCAAGTGCCCCCCACTCCAATTTCCCTTGTTTGAAGTGTCTGGACAAGGCACACTTTGCTCTTGATCAAGAGGGTGCAATCTGAAGCAAACACACATAGGAAGTGCATTTGGTTTTTATTCTAACTCAGGTGGCGGCTGTGTCTGTTCTCCATTGGCTGAGGGCCAACCTCACAATCTCGTGCAATTGGCTAGTCAAAAGAATTGGCACACAGGAAAAGCATGAAGGGGAAAGGAGCCCCTGTTCCTGGACTAGAGCAGTGGGCCTCTGTGTAAACAAAGGTTTTACTGGATGCAGAGGATTAAAACGTTTGTATGAAAGTCTGCCAAGGTGGGGGGAGATAAAAGGTTTTAATTTCTCGTCCTAAATACAAGTTTTATTGTGTTTGACCGAAAAGACTCTATTTTATATTTCTACATCCTTTACCAGCTCCAAATAGGTCTCCAGTTGGCTTTCCATTCACCATGGGGCAAATTGTGTTGTGTTAAAACCTTTTTTCTCGAGACAAGATTTCTCTGTGTAACAGCCCTGGCTGTCCTGGAACTCGCTCTGTAGACCAGGCTGGCCTGAAACTCACTGAGATTCGCCTGTCTCTGCCAAGTGCTGGGATTAAAAACGTGCACCACCACACCTTGGCGTGTTAAAACCTCCTAACAATATTTGTTGTCAAGGTTTTGTTTTGTTTTGTTTTTCGAGACAGAGTTTTTCTGTATAGCAGCCCTAGTTGTCCTGGAACTCGCTTTGTAGACCAGGCTGGCCTCGAACATACAGTAATCTGCCTGCCTCTGCCTCCCGAGTGCTGGGATCAAAGGCGTTCGTGCTGGGATTAAAGGCATGTGCCACCATCGCCCACCTAATAAGATTCTTAAGTATAAAGTTTGTTTTTTTTTTTGTTTTTGTTTTTGTTTTTTTTTTTTGAGACAGGGTTTCTCTGTGTGTAGCTCTGGCTATTCTGGAACTCACAGAGATCCACTTGCCTCTGCCTCTTGAGTGCTGGGATCAAAGGTGTGCACCACCACCGCCTGGCTTATAAATTTTTTTTAAAAGACGACACAGAAGCAACTTAGTGGAAAGCTTCTTGGGGGATAGCTATCCCTATCACTTTAAGATTGGACACAGACATTTTATTTAATTATTTACTTTTGAGACACACTGTTGCCCAGGCTGGCCTCGACCTCGAAGCAAAGCTCCCATCTCAGCCGCCAGAGTACTGGGATTACAGGCAGGAGCCATCACGCCCCATTTTAGAACAGTGATTTATCCAGAGACTCCATTTAGAAACCATTAGGTTGCACATGGCAAGGTATGTTTTGGGAAACTTGCTTACTTTCCCACCCTGTCGCCTCCTTCGAGTCAAATGGAGACTGGAGAGCAAGGACTAGCGCATTTTCGGATTGCAACAGGTCACCTGCTCGTGTGGCGTTCTCTGCCAGGTGTTCCTCGGCCCTAAGGATGGGCCACTGGTCCTCTCTCTCGAAGCCGGAACCCAGAACCGCGTCCCAGCTGCAGATATTCAGGAGACTTCGAAGGATCCCGACTAGGAGACCCTGGAAGGTTCCGGCGGCAGGTGACCCCAGGCCTGTGCTGGGTGCTGGTTCACGCAGGGCATGCGCCGCCCTCCACCCAGCGCAGACCCGCCCCTCCCTGGACTGTAGAGGCGGGTCAACAGGGCGGGCCTCTCAGCACAATGGAACATCACACCTGACCGCACCTCTCCGCCAGGCAGGATGGGACGTCTCTGAATGGCGGCGGCGCCAGGGTCCGAGGGTCACTCTGCGGGCGCCCTTGACGGGCCATCGTGCCGTGCCACCTAGCTTGCTAACAAGCGGCCGGGAGCCCCGGCGGATGAACACTTTGCCCTGGCCAATGAGCGCCCAGGTTCCCGGGCTGTGTCCAATCAGAGCGCGGACAGAGGAGACAGGTTCGGTTGCGCGCGCGCGGCGCGAGGGGCGGACACGGGCGCTCGGGACCTCTTCTGCTGCGGCCCGGGACGCCCCCCTCTCTCCTTCCCGCGCACCGGATGCGGGGACCCTAGAGCTTCCGCCGTCCGCACAGACGAGCGGGTCGCCGGAACCGAGGAGGCCTCGTGCAGCGGCGCCTTCCTCAGAATCCACTCTTGCCTCAGCGGCTTCTGCAGAGAGGCATGAGGGGTGGCTCCCGGCCTCGGGAGCGTGAGGCGGGCTCGGGGTCGGCCAGTTAAGGGGACTCCGCGGACTCCCCAGCTCTTCCTCTCCGGGGCCTAGCGGCAGGCGAGGGCATCCACAGAGGCCGGTATGTTCCCGCGGAGGCCGCCGGCCCCCCTGGCCGCCTGGCTGGCGGGCGCGCGGGGCGGGGGCCTGCTGGCCGTGCTGGCCAATCAGTGTCGCTTCGTGACGGGCCTGCGCGTGCGGCGAGCTCAGCAGATCGCGCAGCTCTACGGCCGCCTGTATTCGGAGAGCTCGCGCTGCGTCCTCCTCGGACGCCTCTGGCGCCGGCTGCGCGGCCCCCCCGGCCATGTCTCTGCCTTGATGGCGGCGCTCGCCGGTGTCTTCGTTTGGGACGAGGAGAGGATCCAGGAGGAGGAGTTGCAGAGGTGAGCCTCTTGTCTGCAGCGGCGTCCCTGTTCCGGAGAGAGTGGTGGGCCTGGGCGAGAGGTTGGTGGGCGCCTTGGGTCCTGCCCTGTCGTCAGTGTCCCGTTTGCCCAGTGGTCTTTTGAGTGACGATGCAATAGATTGAACTCATTTTAGCACCACGCGTTATTGCCTCTTTGCCTGTTAATTCCATTTGTCATGTTAAAAACAACTGGAAGTGGATGGGGGGACGACGGGGTGGGGGACGGACGACGACTTCTAATGGGTAGTATGGCACTAAAGAAATATTCCAAAATCAAATTAGATGTCTAAGGTATAGAGGCCATTTTTCTGGTATTCAGCACACCCAGAAAAGTGCACATTCAAAACGAGCCTTAAAATAAGCTCAAGGGTGTGCGTGTGTGTGTGTGTCTGTGTGAGATATCTTGCCATTTATAAAATGACTGCAATCCAGATGGGACTCGGGCTTTGCGCGGACAGCCTCTGTTACTGTGACTTGTGTCTTGGCACATTTAAGAAACTGGGAGGGGTTTGCCTGTTTGTGCAAAGCAGTGGCCCGGACATTCTAACCTGTAAGAGTTAAGTTAAATTTTTGCTGCTTTAGAACGCTTCGACTACTGTGTCATTAGGCTTTGTCTGTGGAAAAGCCTATTGGCGTTTATTTTTGTTAGTCTAATTCTGAGACTTCATAATTTCCAGATAATCTTAGAAAGTAAATGCTTTTGCATTACAGTGTTTCTATATTCCTTTTAAACAAACTCTCAAATTAGGCCCCTCACCCCACCCCCCTCCCCACTTCTAAACTGTGATTTCAGGAACCAAGGCCAGTTCCCTCCTCTCTACCGGAGAGTCTGTTTCTTCTAAATATTTCTAAAACAGGGAGAGAACCTGTTTTACGTGGGTTTTTTTGTTTTGGTTTGGTTTTTTTGTTTGTTTGTTACATTAAAAATGAGAACAGAGCAGTAAAGTTTATACTGTGGCCTATTTGGGATACATAATACCCAAATGCCAAGCAGTAATTTGTGCAATACTGAATTGAGAACAAATGCTAGTCTCTCTTAAGAACTGAGACTATGTTCCTAGCTAGAAAGATGGCTTTTAAAAAGGTCGAGCGTGTTCAGGATAGAATGGCTGCAGACAGAAGATGAATTTTGTTTTGTTTTGTGTTTTTTAGAAGCAGGGTTTCTCTGTATAGCTCTCACTTTATAGACCAGACTGGCATCAAACTCAGAGATCCGCCTGGCACAAAAAAATGGCTTATAAATGCAGTTTAAAGTTGTAATGACAAACGATTCTATTTATAAAAACGTTGAGGAATGAAAACATGATAGCTATTTTGGTAATTCTTTTCTATTTAGTCATTTGCGCCCCTCCTCCGTTTTTTGAGTTAGGATCTGTCCATTTTTTGCCCAGCCTTGAACTTTTGGTTCTCCTGCCTCAGCCTTCCCAGTCCTGGGATTACAGGTGTGTGCCATCACGCCTGGAGCTGCAGCTTGTGTTTTGTGTTTTTCTTATGTGATTTGGATTCTGTTTAATGAGGAAAGAGTGGTCTTGCTTCCTAGCCTTTCGGTGCTTAAGAACCTCTTGCAGATTGGGTGTGGTGGCACATGCCTTTAACCCTCATTTGGGAGACAAGCAGAAAGATTGAGTTTGAAGCCAGCCTGGTCTGCATGGTGAGGTCCAGGACAGCCAGGGCTACATTGAAAGATCCTAGCTCAAAAGAAAAAAAAAAAAAAAAAAAAGAAAGAAAACATCTTACCAAATCCAATCTTAGTATTTTTTTTTGTTTATTTATTTATTTTTTTAATTTCTTTTTGGTTTTTCAAGACAGGGTTTCTCCATGTAGTTTTGGTGCCTGTCCTGGATCTCGCTCTGTAGACCAGGCTGGCCTCGAACTCAGAGATTTGCCTGGCTCTGCCTCCCCAATGCTTGGATCAAAGGCGTGTTCCACCACCTCCTGGCATTAGCTATCTTATTTAACCTTTTTTTTTTTTTTTTTTTTTTTTTTTGGTTTTTCGAGACTGGGTTTCTCTGTGTAGCTTTGCGCCTTTCCTGTATCTCGCTCTGTAGACCAGGCTGGCCTTGAACTCACAGAGATCCGCCTGGCTCTGCCTCCCGAGTGCTGGGATTAAAGGCGTGCGCCACCACCGCCCGGCCTTATTTAACCTTTTGAATCATTGCTACATCAGACGCAGAAATCATTTTGTTAGTATCTCCCCACCCCCACCCCGACAGGCTCTTACTCTGTAGCCTAGGCTGTCAGAAACTCACTATGTAGCCTACAGTGGCCTCAAACTAGGAACAGTCCTCTTGAGTGCTGGGATTACAGGTATGAGCTACCATGCCCAACAGAAATAAGATTTCTCTTTTTATATTTTTTTTTGTTTTTCGAGACAGGGTTTCTCTGTGTAGCTTTGTGCCTTTCCTGGATCTCGCTCTGTAGACCAGGCTGGCCTCGAACTCACAAAGATCCGCCTGCCTCTGCCTCCCGAGTGCTGGGATTAAAGGCGTGCCCACCACCGCCCGGCTCTCTCTTTATACTTTTATTACATTTATTTATTTGGGTGGGGGTGTTGCTCTTAAACACTCCAGCCTTTGTGTGGAGGTAAAAGAGCAATTGTGGGAGTTGTTTCTTCTGTCGTGTGGGACCCTGGGATCAGTCTCGGGTCCTCAGGCTTAGGGGCGATCCCCTCCCCCAGCCATCTCTGGTACTTCAGATCTCTCAGTACTTGTTTAGTATTTTCATCCAGTTGCCTTCTTAAGCAAAATTACTGTGGACTGTTATTACTGGTGCTAGCCAGCTGCCGTTCTGTCAGACTGGGGCAAATCCCATGGAAAAATACAGCCTTTCTTTTTTCTAAAGTTACTGAAACAAAAAGAGGAAGGATGTTAGGAAATATGAAAATAAAGGGGGGAAATGTTCCATTAACCTCATTTGAAAAAAAGGTACAGTTCACTGCTTTAAAAGTTTGAGTAATTCTGTTTAATGAGAAATGAGTGCTAGTAAATGTTCACAAGGAAAATTGATCATTTTCCCATTTCTTTTTGGGGCATTTAGAATTCATTAAACTTTTCAGTGTGTTATTAACTAGTGAAAAATCCTTCTGGCTTAAAAGAACTTAATGACCACAGTCACATTGGTGTATCGTACAGACAAAGCTCTTATGTCAACAAAACAACATAAAAGGGACTTGAGATTTGTTGAATTTATCTGTTATTTTACCATTAACTAGCTGCTTGTCCAAAAATACCATGAATACTTTATGTCTTATTTCAAGAGATGTCTCAAATCAGTAGTAGCTGAAAAATCCTTAATTCTGTTTTTGTTGTTTCCGTTTTGTTTGTTTGTTTGTTTTGTTTTGTTTTTAAAGACTGGGTCTCACTATGTAGCCCTGGCCGTCCTGGAACTCACTATGTAGACCAGGCTGACCTTGAACTCACGGAGATCTACCAGCCTCTGCCTCCCAAGACCTGGGATTAAAGGCCTGTGCTACTATGCCGAGCCAGAAGTCCCTAATGTCAACAGTAGTTTGGAATTTCAGGAGGCTTTGGTAGGTGAAGCAGTTGTTTTGAAATCCCTACTTGCAGGGGTGGCCCTACCAGAATTACTTTGGAGTCTGTGGTAAAGGCAGCACCCCGGCTGAGTCATGTGTTGGTATGCTTACTCTGTTTTCAGTGTGTCTTCGGTTTCCTTACTCTTCAGTCCATCCCTTTCCCAAATACTGCTTTGGAGAGAGGGAAGCATAGACTGTCTCTCCTTGATCCTTGTACTAATGTAATCTGCTGATTTTGTTACTATTTCAGGAGTAATCTCTAATGCCCTTTTCTCTCTCTCTTATTAAGTCTTCTTAGATGGGAAGATTTAGACAT